ACGAATCAAGAGTGGCAAAGCAGCAGGATCAAACAATATGCCAGCTCAGGCACTGAAAGCAAACATAGCAGTAACTTGCAACGCTACTCTACTCTCTTCGTCAAGATTTGGGAGGAAAAACAAGTATTAACAGACTGGAAAGAAGAACAACTTATCAAGATACCGAAGATCTTAGCAAGTATGAGAACTACAAAGCGATCAATCTACTCTCAATACTGGGAAACGTATTCAATTGAGTGTTGTTAAACCAAATGAGATTCACTCTACATCAACACCCTTAACTATGAGGATGCATTCGACAGAGTTGAAAGGATAACACTATGCAGGTTTCTTCGGTTTTACGGTGTACTTGAGAAGATATTCAACATCATACGGAACTTTTATGATGAACTAAACTGTAAGAGCATGCATGGAGAGCGGCCCACAGACTCATTCCGAGTGTAAACCAGAGTCAGATAGGGTCTCTTTCTTCTGGTGGTCGAATGGGTTATGAAGACGTCAACATCTCAAGGGAAGCACCAGTGGACAGTAGAACGGCTAGGATGCAGCTGGACGGTTCGACTTCGCAGATGATCTAACTCTTCTGTCTCACACGCAACAAGTCCAGAAGTCGGCTAGTGTAGCGAGCAGTAGTTTTGCAACATATACAATAGAAAAAGCAAGATCTTCCGATACAACACAGCTTGAACCAACCAAATCCCACCTTAATGGAGAAGTTCTGGAAGATGTAGAAAACTGTGCAGACCTGAGCACCGATTACTGATGAACAAAATGGATCTGATAAAGCTTCAAAGACGCAGATCAGGAAAAACAAGCGCAGTATTTCTACAAGTGAAGTAATTTAAACAAATGACTGTCAGCTCAACAGCAAGATCACAGTTTCAATACAAATGTCAAGGAAGTTCCCCTGTGTGGAGCGAAAACTTGAATAATTGTGACTGTCACCATCCAAAAGATACAAATGTTCTTTAAGTTTGTATAACAAGTTACTCTTCATTCGTTGAACAGCCTACTTAAGAATTTAGGGAAAAGCGCAAGAGGTGATGGGACATACATATATGAGGGGGATCAATTCAATCGCATTACAAGATAAGCCCTCATTTAGAATCCTCAGGACAGAGGTAAAGAGATAGAGCCGAATATTAGAAAGAACCGTGAAAAGAATCAAATGGAAATTGGGTAGAAGTTGGAAAGGACGACCTATGACAGAGTAGGTTGGAGAATGCTGCTCAGTAGCCTAAGCGCCACAAGGGATATATTCAGGAAAATCTTTTTCTTCATAAGTCAGTTAATGTTTGAAATAATTTTACTTTATTAAAAAAAAAAGTATCCTCATGTTTATGATGTTTCGATTAGTTAATTTTCTTACGGATTTTAACGGTAAGTCTTAAGATTATGCAACTATTCATCTATCTGATCACTTAACAACTTCATCATGTGACCAATTTACAAGCTAAACCTTCTATTTTTAAAAAAAAAATGAAAATGTAGAAAAAAAACATTTTTTGAGTTTTTTTCTTCTTATAATCGATAATTAAACAGTTCACTTGAGAATGAATGTATAAACGAACAACAAACAACCTAAACTACTACTGATGCTGCTGTTGTTGCTGTTAGCTATTATTCAACAACAATTCATGATCACCATTTTGTTCATGTTTATTCCACCAAAAAAAGTTTAGAATTAAAAAAACACGAAGATAAATAGAAAACAATTTCTTCTTTTTTTTACATTTCATTTATTAAATTTTGTACTTTAATTCTCTTTTTTTCTTTCTTTCTTTTGGTAGGTGTGTATGTTGTTCTGTAAGTGTTTAAAAGTTTTGTTTTCTTTTATTCTCGATTTATCACTTCTCCTTCTTCTTCTGGTTCTTCGTCTTCCTCATCCTAAAATGATCATCAGGCAATAAGAAATGAAAAAATAAAACAAAACGAGAACAACAACAACAACAACATCAATCCAGAGAAGAAAAAAACAACAATCCATACTCGATATAAAGGTGAAAAAAAAGAGAAAAACTCATAACATGAAGAAGTTTTTTTTCTTTCAATGAGAAGAATGGATTTATCATTCCGATAAAAAAAAATTGATGAATTAATATTTTTCAAAGATAATTCATTCAACAATAATAGAAAAAAAGAGTGTAAGAACTAAAAAACAATTGGGATAAAAATACACTTGTATGCAGAAAAATAAACAAACGACTAGGGCGTTTTTTCTTTTGCTTGCCGCTATACAAGTGGCACAAAAAAAACAACCCAATATCTCCTTTCTCAAATATGAACGATATATATATATATATATATTATTTGAGGTCAATAAAAATTATATATATTAAAAACAGAAGTTAATAAATAGACAATCAAGGATAGTAATAATAATAATAATAATTATTATTATTATTATACTAAGCACAAGTTAATAAGAGAAAATAAAAATGTCGCCTTGTTTTTTTAATTAATTAATTAATTAATTAATTGATTGATTAATTAATTTTTTTAAAAATGCAATTGTATACGTCTTATATAAATGTAGATTAGTGATTTGAAGTTAACAAGGACGACAAAAGTGTAAATATTATATGTTTACATATACAAGTACAAGGAGAGAGAGAGAGAGAGAGAGAGAATATTGTCAAACAATTACATAGTTGATGATAAGAACAATTATTGAAAGAAATTGAAACAGCGACAACCACCACAGCAATCAAATAAACACAATAAATTAGGAGATTTTGTCATTCTGAAACTAAGAAACATGCCATAACAGATACACAATAGTCAATGGGTGATAACTGATCAAAACAAACAAACAAACAAATGCATATGGCTATTCATATCATTATAAACAAATATAATCAGAAATACCGATCATCAAACACCTTCATGATCGATCGATAATTTTTATACAACATTTGACATTCTGTCTTCAAAAAAAAATATACAACAAACGATAAATAATGGTTATCGACCTAATTAATGATAGCAGAGTACATGTGTGTATTTGTGTGTGTGCATTGTTTTGAATAAGACTTGCACACATATGTGTGTATTAGAAATGCATAAACGATTAACTGACAAAATACATATTGACATGTAATTTTAGAGCTACAGAGAAGAGGAAAGCTTCATACATTAAGAAAATTGTATACAAGGTGTCAACTACGACGTTTAAAATGATAACAAGATGAAATAAAGGAATTCAAGAAATATGGTTGAAGATATTGTTAGTCATGTTGACTTTTTTAGTATAATCATAGTAGTAGTAATTAATCATAATGATTAGAACAAATGGCATCCTAAGATAATGAAATTTAATGAAATAGAAACGCAGACAATTTAATTCAATGTAATTTATTAGGTCACGGGCAATTTTTCTCTACTCTATTCACATCATCGTGAATAGTGATAGCTAGGATAACAGCAACAATAATGGATGAATGGATATTTTCATGACTTAACTAGTGTTATAGGATAATGAGACAAGAAAAAACTGTTTGTTTGTTTGATTTGCATAGAAAAATATACCAATTATTACAACACATCATCCATCAGCTTACATACACATGAATCAATGTGACCTTAGTTAATCCGCTGGGCAATTTCAATTAAATTGTAACGGAGTAATTGTATTCACATATTAGTTGAAAACAATTAAAGGTCAGTAAAACTTTATCTACATTCAAGTCAGAAAAGCACATACACAAGGACATTTATATATATATAGATATCAACATCGTTGGAAAGAAGAAAAATGACGGAAATTCTTGTGTATAGAAGTAGCAAAAACAATTAATAATGATAACAATAATAGTAATAATAATAATAAGTGATAAAAGTTAATGATGTAAAGTAGCATCAATGTTACTTACTTATATTAAAAAAAAGGTCAATCAAATAATCAAGAGACAGACAACTCATCATCTATATGTATATATATATTTATATATCTTTATATATTTTTTCATTCGGTTTTAATACAACAATAAAGGTGAAATTTGTTGAATTTTAAGAAAAAGTATTCATAATTTCATTATTGATCATGGTACTTGTAAAGAAGTAGTGATGTGAATGAATGAATGAAAGGCATTTTTGGAATTGTTTGAACATGTCAGATTGGTTGGGGGGTGGGTGGTCAGTGGACGTGAGTAGAAGATAGAAGAATCATTGACAAACGAGGGAATCTGTCGTAGTATTCAATGTTTCATGAGGCTGCGAAGAGACGGGAAGAAAAGATGTCGTCTGTAAGAAAGTACAATATATGCGGAGATTTATTTAGCATTGTGAATAAAAACAGTCATTTATAAACTGCATACTGAAATCGAAGATTTATTTTTAACGATCGGGTTATATTTGGTGTACTGGGTAGAAGAGTATAAAAATTACGAATCAGTTAGTATACTATATACCTTAAAAGTTTCTTTCATAGATTAACTAATTGCTCGGGTTTTAAACCAATAACTATTTATTCAAACGATACGATATCGATCTTACACTTTACATGAAGAATATCAACATCAAATCTGTTATTTTTTATCTTAAGACACTGAAATCTAATACATTAGAATGATTAACGTTCACAAAAAATGACCTTTTTTCTAACGAACTTCCAATAACTTCCATTTTATGTGATTTCTAATAAGTGAATAGGAAGTTTTTTCAACAACATTTGCAGTAAACTGATTCGGAACATAAACGGTACAAATAGAAGGGCGTAAAGACATTGAGGTTATCTAATCATCAGTGCAAATGAAGCGCCGCTAGGTCAAGGTCAAGGTGAGGTCGTGTGAGGAGACTGTAAGAATATACTGAATGTTTTAAAGCCATCTTTTATGATTTAGTTAACTATAGGGAACTAGAGCAAATCGAAGTAAGCAATGAAGTTAATAGACAGAAGTTTTAATCAAAAGATAGGTTTATAAGAAGAAACAGGCAGTTGGATAACCTTAGTTAAGTAGTTGGAAATCGAACCCGAACAAACAATAAAATGTTAACAATAACTAATAATCACAGTTATTATTACGTACCTTTGTAGTAGTAGTTTCATCAGGATTGGTTAACTTTGAAGAGAACAGTGCATCTTCATCGCTGAACCGGGACTGTAAAGATTGATTAATATGACTTTGATTGAAAAGAGAAGCAGAATTATTACTTTGTCCTGTAGTTTGTTCATCCAAAATATGACTTGGTGCTTTGGAGGAAGTTAATGGTGCAGGGGATGGAGTTAATTGGCTTAAAATAGGTGTACCAACATTAGTTGTTGGAGAAACATTGGTTATTGATGAAGTTCCTCCAGCCAGTGCGTTAGGATTTAATGTGCTATGAGCGACAAAATTCGGATGCGAAGTACCAGACAGTAAAGCTGTTTGTAGTTGATCACATAAACGTTTGAATCGACGTGTTGGACCTATACATTATTAGTAGTAGAAAGAGAACAGGGTAGATAACCTCTAGGTTTGAATAGAATTATATATATATATATATATATATATGAGATATTGGGCTACCTTAATTCATTCTGACATTAAGATGAAAAAGTTGGACAGTACTTTTCAGTTTTCAGTGGTCGTTCAGCTAAAATCAATCACTGATACAAACTATCTTCGAATTGAACAACCTCTTCAAATCTCCTATACTACTCGTTCACTCACTCATGAGCAACAAGGAATCTGGTACATACGAACATCAGTTCCAGTTGCTAAATCTTATTGGAACAGTCAAATGATACAAATGACAGAGCCATAGAAGAAGTAAAAGTATCGCTGGTAGTAGAATAGGTTAGGCATAGACCTTGCAAAGCCAGAAAGGATTAGCACAATAAAAAGAATAAGATAGTTTTGGAATTCAAAATCTAAAGAAAGACAAAGAGCAAATACACCTGTTCCCTTATGAACGATTTCATGTCATGTTACTGAACGTCTACAACAATTGGTTAAGATAATTGTGCTGACCCCAACTAGGTAATCTTAACCTACTTCTACGGCTTAATCTAATAGACAGTGACTACATTGGGTGCTAACGTGTTTTTGTTTGACCAGACCACAACTCAATTTCAACCTACCCCCCACACCAGTAAACAACGAACACAAAACGCTAAGTGACGCAATATCACCATTTTAGTCGATGAAAATTAATTATCTCATCAACCGATTCGTTAGCACTGTCTAGAACCCTGCATTTAACTTCGACATTACTCGGTCGACAGTACAAGTCCCTTGCATACTAATACATTACTAGATGATAAGCCGCTACTAATCGATCAATCTAGTCGGTAAAATTTATTTCAGGTTAAAAAATCTGTCTTTTGGGGACGTTAGATCCCCAGAACTCACTTGATAAAGGTCCTAATTTGGGGTTTTTTATGTTTTCGCGCATTAGCTACTTGGTTGAGCTTGAGATTACATTTCCCACTCGGTAAATCCTTGGCTGTCATTGGTTGGTGTATTATTTTAGTATGTAATTTTTGTGGCTCTCCTAAGACATTTCTATTATGTATCAATAAGCTCGATTTATGTGCTTGTCGACCTCGTATTTTCTGGGTGCTTGTAGAATACACTTTCTACGCTTAATCAAGACTTCTTGATACAGTTAGCCGGGCTGGGGACAACGGATTAGAATAGCCTATCGTGTCACTGCATCATTTATCTGCGCTCCGTTTATCGAGTAAGGTGAACTCGTAATAGTTAAAGCTTATCACTCTCTTAATGTTTTAACATTCTTTAGGAGATCAAAGATATATAAACAAATGAAACCATATGTCTACTATGAATATGCATGTTGATAATGAATTGCATAGTATTAATCCTCAAACAATTTTATACAAAATTGTTGAATTCTATCATAATTTCGGTAGCATTTTCAAAGGAACATTTTACATTAAAATATGAAATTTAAAATTTTTAAAAAAAATTCCTTCTACTTACCTGATAACAATTGAAAATTGACTGCATACACTTCTCGTTCAGATGAAATAGAATTGATATTATTCTGATGTCCAGAACCTGTACTAATTCCACCAGTTGCACGTACCATATCTACTTGAAGTTTAACAGGTCGAGCAAGTAAACTTGATCCACTGCCTGCACGACGATATTCAGCTCGAAAACTTGTTGGAGAAATTACTGTGTGAACAACACCAGGTGTAGCTAGAAAAACCTTTATAAAGAAAAAAAAATCAAATACAATTGCAGTAATACAAATTTCTCTGTAAGAACAGTACAGTTCATATTCGGTCTATGTCAAAATCTATTTCTAACGACCAGTTGATTATCATCAAACGGAGAGAAAGGTAAATTGAATTCAAGTGCATCCATTCTTTGAGCTCTCTCAAATCCTAATCTTCTGGATTCGTCAGCACCTCTACCTTTGTCTTTCTAACCTTATCTCACTGAATTATACTTCTTGAATAATATCTTCAAACCCTAGTCCTCTTCATTACCATTAATACCTCTACTATCTTTATCACTATAGGATTTGATTTGACATCTGCGTCTTTGTGCTAATGTGGTATGGCAACATGAACTTATGTACATACGTACGTAGTTCTACGTTGCAACTGACTGACATTATAATATCCAAAATAAACAATTATTTATTTTATAAGCACATTTCTAATAATGTATAGATTAGATTTATAACTAAACAAACTTATTCCCTACTACAGTTAACTATACACTACACGATTTGATTACTACTTTGTAAGTGAAATTACTAAAATTAGTTTTTATATTAGTATTTGAAGAAAGAAAATCATGATCTATTATAACACATGGAGGAATAAGTTTTAATTTTTATGACAATTATTATGATCAATATTCTTAGATAAACTTTAAAGTAAATCGATTACACTCACAGCACAATGAATATATACGAACCGAATGAGGTACAGTTTTGTAAGGATAACAACAAAACTTAACATTTTGATAACTATAAAACCGATTAAGATTAGGTTTATGTTTACATTTAAAGAAACAATAAAGCGTATAGTAGCCGACGAAATATGACTATTCCACTGGAATTTGTCATTAGACCCGGTGTGCGATAATGTTTGATCAAATCTTGGAACGTATTCAAAAAGCTCGTTTGTGTTTTATTAACTTATGTCACCAACAGTGACGAAAAAGAGATACCTGCACACCCAAGTGCGATCATACTGAGCAGCAGTTCATACTGTTTTATTTTATGGCTACGAAAAGCGGTCTTTAAAGGTACTGTTATTAGTAGTACTACTTCTGTTCTAGTAGTCTGCAATTCGTCACGAACGTAGGACTTAATTTGACCAAGGTAAGATTGGGAAACATTCTCATTAAAACCGATACTCATAAATGTAATGTGCTCAGTATATTGATTAGTTACAGAAGACAAAAAATCGTCACGTTAGAAAAGTTATAGTTAAATAACGCAGAAAAATTGATCGTTAATCAATGCACTGATAAAATTTTGTGAAATGAATACTACCATTGATAGCAGTAAAAGTATTCACTATTCATTTCAATAAAGCTAGTGAATAATCCAGACATATTACGTCATCATGAAGTACTTTTAAGATGGAATAAAAGAACAAAGTTAGACAAATTAATCAGGTAGGTAAATAGTTTTCGCACTTTTTTTACAAAAAACCTAGTTGAAGAGAAAGTCTGCTTAACTGAAATATACTAAGTTGGCAAATAATGCTTACTTGAATCGTAACTGTTTACTCAGTAGTAACTACTGCATACCTTGAGTACAGCTAAAACTTTTAGGTCATCCATACTAACACTAAATATTTCATTACAAATGAGTTTTCTCAGTTTCGTTTATCGATCAAGTTAGTAGCTTTTCCTAATTAATGGCTTTACTGAGGAATAGATTACATGAAAATAAGTTCATGATTATCACTGAGGGTGTGGTCAGTCAGTCAGTCAGTCAGATGCAACGTAAAACATCGTTGATAAGTACATCAGTTCATGTTGCCATACCACATCAGCACAGAGATGTAATTGTCAATTCAAATCCAATAGTAGAAGAGGTAGTAAAGGTATTAGGAGTAATTGGAGAGGTTAGGATTAGAAGATATTATTCAAGAAGTATGATTTGATGAGAAAAGTTTAGAAAGTCAAAACTAGAGGTGTTGAAGAATCCAGAAGATTAGGATTTGAGAGAACACAAAGAATAAATGCACCGGCGCGCCATTGCAAACGATTTTGAGCCATGTCATTCAACTGAGGGTGTGGTGTAGTAAAGAGACAACAGTTAGGCAGCGGCGTTGGAAATCTAAGCATGTACTAATATATTTCTTTTTTCTTTTTGGAAATTAATCAGAAACAAACGAGAACTAAAACGTATTTTATTCAAATCATACGATTATATGCGTAAAAATTAATCGATTATCTCTTACTTGTACAAGTTCTGCTTTCAACCTATTCAGAGCACGTCCTTTAACCATAACAACATGATTAGTTTCTTCTGGTGGAGCATTTCCACCTAATGAAGCGCTATTATTGCTTATTGTTGTTGTCGTAGTCGTTGTACTAGCAACAGAACTTGATGATATAAATGGTTTGAGTCCACGTTTTTCAATTAGTTTAGTATTTGAAAATGGATCTGAAGAAGGATACAATTGATTGACATTCAATTGAATATCTGTTGTAGCACTAAGATGATGAGATTGTTGATGTGTTTGATGATAATGAAGATGATGTTGATGATGATGAGGATGAGGATGATGATAGTGATATTGTTGCGTTTTTGTTACACCATCGGAAACATATGAATATGATGGTGATGAAGGTTGAGAAGTTGAATATTGTGAATCAGTGTTATTATTGTTATTATTATTACTACTATTTGTAGTAGCATTATTTCCTTCACAGTTTATATTGGAATTTTTCCAATTCTCTAATAATTCATTATTAGATATGATGTGTTCCGATAATCTCTCTGTATTCCCACCATCTTGTTCATGATGAAATTCACCGTCTTCATGTTCATCTTTACTTTGTCCATTGTCTTCTTTACATTTAGATTGAATAGAGATAGCTAATGCTGCAGAATCTTGTGCTGCTGCAGCTGCATTTGCTGCATGTTGACTACCTTTAGTGATTACATGTCCAGAGGCAGCTGTTAAGAAACCATTGAACCATGATTTATGCGTTAATCTATAATTTTTTTTGAAAAAAAAAATGCAGCACAGAAAAGAAATATTTTAATATCAGTAAAAAACGAGTGATTAAAACGAAGAAAAAAAACAGTTTAAATCTACACAGATTACGTTAGACTTTGCAAATAAATGTAGAGTATGAATGCATATTTTTGTAAATATGTTTGTACCATTTTGAATTTTTTTTATTCACAGAAAAATATGAAAGGGAATTTCTTCACAAAATCCAATAAGAATGTGAATGAATTTTTTTTTAAGGTCGAATTATTTAGATTAACTGGAAGAACAGAAACAAATTAGATTAGTTGTTGTTTAATTGCACTACCATCTGTCATTGTTCATCAACAAAATGTAATGATGACGTTCAGTGAATTTGGTAATTAATTAGATTACCAATGGAACTAACTATATGAATTCCCCCTACTAATAATCTTAATGTTATTTCGTCTCATTGTCTTGAAGTAAATTATCTGTTGTATTTATAAATTTACACAAATATTGTGTAACTCACTAAAATGATCAATTGAAAAATATGTGGAACTCCAAACAACTTTCAACCAAAAACCAAAATCGAGATTTTCAATACAAATGTCAACACAGTTCTACTGTATGAAGCGGAAACTTGGAGAACTACGAAAGCCATCATCCAGAAGATACAAGTGTTTGTTAACAGTTGTCTACGCGAAATACTTCGGATTTGTTGGCCAGAAACCATCAGCAACAACGTACTGTGGGAGAAAGCAAACCAGATTCCAGTGGAGGAGGAAATCAAGAAGAAGCAGTGGAAGTGGATAGGACACACTACGAAAAGCACCTAACTGCGTCACAAGACAAGCCCTCACATGGAAACCTCAAGGCAAAAGGAAAAGAGGAAGGCCAAGGAACACATTACGCTGAGAAACAGAGAAAAATATGGGAGGAATGAACAAACATTGGACAGAACCGGAAAGGGAAGCCTAGGACAGAGTTGGTTGGAGAAAACTGGTGGGCGGCCTATGCTCCATTGGGGGTAACAGGCGTAAGTAAGTAAGTCACTAAAATGATGTACCCTATAATTCTAATAATTTAAATAATGATCACTGTGAGACTTTGATTTTATGATTTGAAATTAAATGAAACTTGGAAGACAATTTAAAGAAAAATCTTTAATTGTATTCAAACGATTTTTGTGCATACATGTTTTGGTTTGATCAATATCAGGTAAAATGTATCACTGAAAGAAAAAAAAATGTCACATACAATTTAGATATACAAAAAAAAAAACAAAAAAAAAGTGTTATTCACTTACAAAGGTGATGGTTCTAAACCAGATGATCGTCCAGAATTTCTCCATTGGCTTTGTGTAAATGAATTTGGACTACTCGGTGGTGTTTCAGTTAATTGATCAGTTGTTGTATGTATAAGTGATGATTTTTTCCGATGAAAACGTGGTGAGCCTAAAAAGGAAATTTTTAAATTATTTAATTTCACACGCCATGTTTGATGCGTTGTACTGGATGTTGGACTACTACTACTAGTAGTTGGTTGAGTATGAGTTAATGCTGTATGAGAGAATATTGGACTATTTGTGGTAGAAGATGATGATGATGATGATGATGTGAATACAGGACTTTCACAAGTTATAATACTGTCCACCGTTTTCAAACCATCTAAACGTGGTTTTCTAATATCTGATTTAATACGTCCACTTTCTACAGTAGAATATTGCATAGTTTGTCCGTTTATAATATCGGATTGTAGATTTCTTGTTCCATTCGTAGTAGCATGTGGTTTTTCACGAGATATAATATTATTCACATTGAGATTGTTAGTAGGTGGAGAAGAAGAACTTAATTTTTGACTAGATATTGGTGATTGAGCTGGAGATTGTTGTAATTGAACATCTCTGGAATTTTGATGTATTACACTATGTCCTGATTGAGATTTTAATGGAGGAGGTGGTGAATGAGTTATGGAGTTACATTTTTTTCGAATTGACTGTATACCACCACCACCACCACCACCGCCAGCACCACCTATTGGAGATGAAGGCGCTGTACTGGATGAATTCGACAAGTGTATATGATCTAATATTGGAGAATTCAAATCTTTGTCATGTTCTTTGTGAATTACTTTGACTGAATTTAAGCTGTTCTGTACATCATTTATAGGCTGTTTATGCTAAATCAAAGGGGAAAATCACATGGAAAAATTTAGCAAGTTAGTATTTAATAATGGTAGCGATAATAATCATAATAAAAATAATAATAACATAAAAATATTTTTATACACACTATGATTGCAAAACCAAAGCGATTGAATGAAATGTATTTCAACGGTAATCTGTGTATAGTTGAAGTTAAGATAAAAGTAAAACAAGGCAACTATCAAGTGTTATGATGATGTTTGTGACGAGTAGGAGCTATTTGATTCTTCATGTTTTTATGATTGGTTCATTCTACCTGAGACTGATGAGTAAAATAAATCTGAATTTCAATAAGTGTTAAGTTTTTAATTCTAATACACAAACTATTCAATCATAATTTTACAATTTATAATTTTCTATACAAGGCTATCAAGTAATAAAACAGTCATTTTCAGGACAGTAGGGTAACAAGTGGTGGAGATGTCTAGTTAACGTTTCATACTTAATCGAGAACCTTATTTTGAATCACCAGAGGAAATATACATCATAAATTACGAAATTTAATTTGTAAGTAACTAAATTAATAAAGGTTATTTTATGTAGGGAAGATTCTTTACATGAATGTATAAGCGTAATATTTGAGACTTCATTCGAATAATTACTTATTTATGCTATAAAGATGATCTAATCTTTGTTAGGGAGTTCAAAAATATCCCTCGGGAAAGTCTACTGAGGCCTAAATTCTCCAGGAAACGTTTAGTCGAATCAACGTTGAATAGAACATTTGTAGAGACATCGACGAAAGGTAAAATCAGGTACCACGACTTTCAATGGACATTTAGCCGTACTATATTTACTATGGTTCCAGAAACTTCCGTAGGCTCAGGGTTATGGGTAACTTCATCAGTACCTTAATTTTTCTGTACATGAACTAAGCTTGGGGTTAGGGGTTCTTTTCGTACTTTGCACATTTCTCTTGTATTCAAGTTGACGTTTAGATTTTGGTTATTTGCAGAGGATACGAAATCAGGTTTTGCGTTCATTCAGTGCAACCACAACTGACAGCTACATAAATTTCTTGTGATTAATTTCCTACTTATACTACACTATCTGTATTTCTCTAATGAATCGGTGTTTGATTATTATAATTCAATGGGGATAGATGGAGTAGTTTTATAAGTGTTTACTATTATTAAACAATGAAGAAAGCATGGAATAATCATTCTTCACAATGACTTTTTGTACATTCCTATTGGTAATCAATAATGCATTACTAAATGATTGTCAAAAGTAATGAATGAAACAATTCCGGTAAAATCATAGTGTATTGACTAACATTATCAAACTAAAAGATATTGCACTAAAAAGAAATCATCAGTAAACATGATTCTCCCATTAACTATTATTGTGATATGTCTAATTTGGGGAGTCTTATTTGACTCTTTTCAATTTCCTATGTACCTGAATGACATATGGGAGTGGGCATGTGACTGAATATTAGATTTTTGTTTAGAAGTTTAAAAATAATACATACTACATTAATTAGATATTTCGTGATCATAGTGGTAGTAGTGGTAGTAGTACTACTACTCGAAATATCCATTTGCTGACTAAAGGACGAGTGAACTGTGCAGCAGTTCGCTCTGTCCTACATTATGGCTACGAAACATGGCCGATAGGAGTAGAAGACATTCGTAGGAGTAGGTTGAAAGGAAGTAATGAACGGCCAAACCGAAGCGTGGCACAAATCCATAAACTCACTGACAAGAGGACTGAGTCATGTCGGTAGGTGTCGACTACCTGGTTGGGGTCTGCGAGATGAAAGTCATCGATGGTTAGAGACCTTGAATGACATAGCTCAAAATCGTTCTCTCAAATTGTAACCTCCTGAATTCCTCATCTCTATTTTTCTAAAGTTATCTCACTGAACAATACTTCTTGAATAATATCTTCAATTATTAGTATTCTCCATTACCAGTGATTCTTCTACTATCTCCACCACTATGGGGTTTGAACTGACAGTGGCGTCTGCGTCTCTATGCTAATGCGGTATGGCAACCTGAAGTGATGTTCGTACGTACGTACGTACGAAGTTCTACGTTTTAACTGACTGACCGACTGAGTACTACTACTACTACCACTAGGACTAAGGTTATATACATTTGAGTTGCTGAAATAACTTTTGAATCATACATCTGTGGTATATTAAAAATTCTGGAGGCCAAGTATTGTTATGAAACGAAAAATTATTTAACAAAATCTGTGTTTAATAGAAAATGTTAATTATCACCTACTACAATGATAGCGTAGCAGTGTTTGTTGTGTTTGATGAAATCTCGACACGAATGCAGGCGTAAAACGTGGCCACTAAGAGTACAGGATATTGGTAGGTTACTAGTATTTGATCATAGGTTTCTTAGAAGCATCGCTCGTATATCCTGGGACCATTGAGTAAGCAATGTTGGTGTTAGGAAAAGGGTACTAGTAAGGGTGGTAGATCAATTGATAAGATAGTGAATCTCCATCAACTAAGTTGGTTGAGATATATGTTACGAAAGCCCTACCAACGACTGCCTCGCGAGCTATGCTTTGTAGTGTAAGGGAAGGTTGGAAGAAAGCTGAGAGCGGCTAAACCAATACACAGCACAAGTCCATGAAGTCACTGACAACTGGACTGAGCCGTGTTAATAGGTGTAGACTAACTGGTTGGGGCCCCGGGAGATAATCTTAACCAGTGGTCAGAGACTTTGAATGACATGGCTCAAGATCGTTTGCAATGGCACAAGTGCATCTATTCTTTGAGTTCTGTCAAATTCTAATCTTTTTAATTCAATATAACCTTTTTCCTCTTTTTAAATTTATTTCACTGCGGTATACTTCTCGAATTATGTCCTAATCTGTTCCATTACCGCGTATACTGCTACTACCTGTACCATTATGAAATTTGAATTGACAATTCCATCCCTCTATGTGCTAATGTGGCATAGCAACTTGAACTGATGTGTGTACGTACCAAGTTCTACATTGTAGCTGACTGACTGAGTGTAGTTATATTAAGAAACTATGTCACAATGTTATCCTTTGGAGTTATATATATATCAAAAAGACAGCATGATTTTTAAAATATAAGTGAATAAATACACTCTCACAAGATTGGAAAGCGTTCTATATGTGTGATAAAAAAAGAAGATAAGTACAAACAATTTAGATTATTTTTTTCTAATTTACAGTAAATATGTAATTTAATTTTAAAATGGAAACTAAAACTTGAAACAATGTTATAGACAATGAGAAAATGATTTTCAATAAAATTAGAAGACGGACAAATGAAAACAAACCAATAAACCAACACACCAACAAACACAAACTTTTCATTGAATAAAAAATTAATTAATCTCATAGTTGCTAGTTTGTTTTACTTTACTTTACTTCTCTGCATTAATCGTTTGCCATTGATACTATTTCGAACTAGTTCCTGTTTAATGTTTTTTGGTACACACACACCTACCTACCTACCAACACACAAACAAAGTAGAAAACATCAATTGTGCCAATGTGTACGTATTAAACGTATACACATACATACGCACACACACACACACACACATTTATTTGGTTATATATATATATTTATAAAAATTGTTAAACAGAATCAATTTATTAGCAGTTAGATCAAAGCGAATAAATGGAAAAATAAATAATCTATGCTTTGTTTTAATGGAAATGATCCATTGTTTACATCGTTTTGAATAAAAATGGTTACAGTTAAAAAAGTTTTTTTTTTCTCAAAAAAAAAAATAAATCAGTAACGTGTGAAGAACAGAAGTATATATATATATATATATATATATATACAAATGAAGCATTGAACATGATAGTTAGGCGTATAAATATACACATATGTATAAATGTATATGTATATGTACATATATATATATATACATTTATCATACCACAATTCAATGGATAATATCTTAATCGATATGATAATCAACTATTCCATCAACCAAGTAAACCATACTTATGCAAAATGAATTGATTTTCACTCACGTACACATATTTTATAATTATCTATAGGTAGTAAGTAATAAAAAAGGGAAAAAAACATAACATGTGTGCTATGTATGGCATGTATATAACTCTGTCTATTTCATTCGATTTTTATGTGGGGCGGGAGGCGTGTTGAAGGTGGTGAATTAAACGGAATGCATTAAAAATATGTCGGTCTGTGTCGCACTTGCAATAATAATAATAATGATAATAATAAAAATAACAGTGAGCTGGTACCATAATAATTTTGCCAATTGTAGTGGTGTTTCGTTCTCTGAGCTAGATGTGAAGCTTTCATTGTTCTTCTGAATAACATCATCAGCAGCACAAACTTCTCTCTGAACGAAATACCATCACCTACACAATCATCCATCCACCTGAGCTACAAATTTTCTTCACCATCTCAACATTTTGTCAATCGTTGTAAATGGAAAGTCATTCCCATAGACAGAAATGTGACAACTCATTCTTATTGTATTTAACAAATATTTCTAATCATCAATCAATCAATATCGTAACATGTGCTCACTAGTGACTAGCTTCGTGAGAAAATTCTCGGAGTTCTAGTGAGAAGACGCTAGCAATAGAGTTCAACCCTGTCGGGTGTAGGCAGTAACTACTTAACAAAAATGGGTGAGGTCGCGCAAAATCCCTAGATCAACCAGAGTTAGACGTTAACACCGTTAGATGCCGGCTCAGTGGTCCGATGGTTACGCGTTTGCGCACAGTACCGAAGGTCCCGGGTTCGAATCCTGCAAGATGCAGGAGTCGTGGATGCGCACTGCTGATGAGTCCCATACTAGGACGAAACGGCCATCCAGTGCTTGCAGGTTTCTAATAGTGGTATAACAATGATTGATTGATGATTTCAAATGTGTAAAAAACACAAATCTCCAAAACTCTAATTGAAAATATTTCTAATTCAAGTCAGTTATTAACAGCAAAAATGATGATGATACTACAAATATGTTTTAGTTTTATAAAACTCAACCACAACAAAATCATTCATCTGAGCCATAAAATCTCATCATCTACCAGTTTAATATTATTTTTTAACACAAATCACATAATACTATTGATAATTTATGCTATGCTTATCACATCATAAAAAAATATAGTATGCTGAAACAGAAATAATCCCGTGAAATGAAGCGGAGAATAGGACACATACAAAGAAACACATTCATTTCAGATTACCCTAAAGTTAATACACATGTAAACTTAACCAACAAAAAAAAAACCACTTTATCAACTACTGTCTACAATAAGTATCAACTATTACTATATATATGCTCAAAAAAACTGGAGAAACTATGAAATTTAAATTAATACAACTATGAAATTTAAATTAATACATCTCTTAAAAATCTTTATTAATAATATTATTACAATTATTATTTGTAAACATGTCATATTTATACAGAATAATAAAACGTTAACTTACTTTATTGAATTGATTTTCAACTGATTGTTGATCAGTTGTTGTTGTTGATAAATTTTCATTCGGTTGATCAATATGATAATTATTTTGATCAGTATTTACTGTTGTTGTTGTTGTTGTTGATGTACTATTCATAGTTTTATTTGATTGCATTGATATAGTAGAAGAATTAGTTAATAACGAATTAGAATCAATAGAACATGACGGAGCAATTAAACAACATGATGATGATAATGATGATGTTGATGTTGATAATAAAGTTGAACAAGTCGATGAAATAACATTTGAATTCACTAATGATTGATGATTATTTTGATCAAAAATTGATGAAACTTCAGTAAGCACCGGTAATAATCCAATATTATTATTATTCGTTGTGGTTGTGGTTGTTGTTGTGTTTGTGGATATTGAAGGTATAGTAGTCACAACAGGAGGGATAGATGATGCAATTGGCATACTACTACTATTATTATTATTATTATTATTATTATTAGTATTCACATTATTACCACTTGCAAATGATGGAATCGATGGTATAAAATAAGGTCCAGGAGTAAATGAATGTGGATGAAGATGTGGCAATAGATGATGGAATGGTGATGGTACAAAATGAGGTGGTGGAGCTAAAGTTGTTGCAACAGGAATTGGTGTCATTGATGGATGAAGAAAATGTTGTGGTCTATGATGTCCAATATGTGGAATGCTTCCAAAATAATAAATATTAAGATTTGGATGTTGTTGTAATGGTGTTGTTATATGTGATTGTTGATTACTACCACTAATTGAAGAATTCGATGTAATTCCATGCATTGAAGGATTTATAGATAAATTAGTGGAACTTGTTGATATATAATTTGTTGAAGTATTATTTAATAAACCATTATTATCGGTTGATGTAATTGTTGTTGTATTATTCGATCGTGAATCCGATGAATTTGTTGTTGAAGATACGGTAGATATTGTTTGTGTTCGAGCAGATGGTGGAACTGATAGAGATACTTGTCCAGGATGTGAATTTTCTAAATTTTCACATCCTACAGGTCTGTAGTGAACACGTTGAAGAGAAAGTGGTGAACCTAACGGGCTAACAGCAGGTGTACTAGATTGACTATCTAATCCACTGGAGAATGATTTCTTTCGTCTAGATGATCAAAGATGAAAAATTCAATTCATTATTATTATAACACACTGATTAAATAATAATAATAATAATAATAATAATGATAATAATAACCAATAATTAGTATACATTAAATTTACAAATACATTTGAGATAATTACACATGAAAGAAGTTGTTACTTGTATGTGTTAAATAAATATTTAAATGTTCCATTTCGTAGAAGTTAGTTTGTGTTGGGGAATTTAGATCCTAATTTTGGATTTTATTCATGGACTGATCAGTTGACCTTGAGATTACATTTCCCTCCAGGAAAATCCATGACTGTCATTGGTTGATGTGTTATTTTAGTACGTTATTTTTGTGGTTCTCCCATTGACGTTTCTATCATGTATAAATAAACTCAATTTGTGTGTTTGTTGACCTCATATTTTCTGGGTGCATGTAGAGTACACTTTCTACGCCTTATCAAGACTTCTTTCTCCGTTAGACGGGGCAACCGATTAGAGTAGCCTATCGTGTCACTGGATCATTCGTCCTCGCTCTCGTTTACTAATTAAGGTGAACTAGTAATAGTTTCAAGTAGAATATATTGTCCAATAACCAATTAACTAGTTCATCATTATTTAAAACATACTAAATGGTCAAGTCAATTGTTTTTTTTTCTAATTTTGATAACATTAAGTGTTTTCTTATTTATATATAACCCTGTCTATTACAATTGACATATATATATGCAATACACATATTTATATGAGAATATAAAACTGACATAAATAATAATTTCATTTCAATCAAATAATTTCATTGCTTAATATTTATTTTTAATTCGTCTATTTTAGTTAATTTGAACTGAATGTCATAAATTTATGACAGCAAACCATTAGAATATCAATATTTCGGTATAATAATTTTTAAAGTAAATCTGTTTTATTTTTCTGTAAAGACGTATTTTATACAGCAGACATTGTCAACAATTAGAGCAGAAGAAAAAAAAGTAATTTTGCGTGATGAAAAGTAATATTGGATTTTATTTAGGAGGCACAAGCAAACTTCAAAACTATAATAGAGGACGACGTTATATTCTGTCAGTGATTTTTAATTGATGGAATAATTGACATCATAGGAATGAATTTTGAATAATTTTAATGCCGCATTATTATTATTATAAAAGCTCATATTTATTAATAGTAGTATAATTAAAATATATTTAAATAAAAATAAATTACTTAGGAAAACAAAAATCACAGTAGAAAAACAACGTTATATTTTTCTTACTTAAACTCAAATGATGTAGAATAATGGTCTGTATTTAGTTCGTGAAAAATTAATTCACATTGATATTAAATAGGATGTGCTAGGCAAATATTTTATTCTACTATAAGCATTATCAGTAATCAAATCAAACGTAGAACGCTTTAGTTTATCAGGTGAAGAGGGTCGGTTATTTTCAATGAACCCCATTCGTAATATATATATATATATATATATATATATATATATAACATGGAGTAATCCGGTGTAATTTGCAGGTAGATGTTCTACTATTAGCATACTTGAACTCCATCACCAGAGCTTGTCCTAAAGATAGTTACTAATAAGAATGCGATTATTATTTGGTTGAATAAATTACTGTTGGGGATATTAGAACTCACTCGAAAAAGGTCCTAATTTTTTAATTTTATTCTGAAATTTTGAATTTTTATGTTTTCGCGCCAAGAGACGCCTTCAGCTCAGATTTCCTCCTTGACTGTTATTCGTTGACGGATTATTTTAGTACGCTATTTTGTGGCTCACCTAAGAGCATTTCTATCATTATATAAATAAGCTTGATTTGTGTGCTTGTCAACCCCGTATTTTCTGGGTGCTTTTAGAATTACACTTTCTACGCCTTATCAAGACTTCTTGATCTAGTTAACAGGGCAGGGAATAAACGAATTAGTATAGTCTATCGTGTCACTGCATCATTGTCTTCGCTCCGTTTACCGAGTAAGGTGAACTCGTAATAGTTTCCAGCATATCAATTACCAAAACAAATCGAATTGTGTATCACTTTTGTTACAAATTGATTTCAGATAAATAACATGTTATTGAACGGCGACTTTTCTAAAGCTTAGAGAGAAACGTCAATGACAACGTGGAGTAACATTTAACAATTATTGAAATGGTTA